TTGTTATTTTGTGTTCAGCAGCAAAATATTTCCATCAGCACACTCTACAAGTAGATTTCTCTTTCGCCCTATAGGTCGTGATTCTACCTGAGTCTACAGGGTGGATTTTGGAGAAATGGCTGTAGCTCAGTCCCACAAGTGACACCTGGCCACCAGTAACTGTCATGGTCGTTGTGCATGTCCACAACACACTGCAACTTTGTGCGATGTCCTATCCTCGGACTGTTGGAAGTGCTGGTCATTTGTTTGTCATTCCAGTATTTGTCTTATGTTTTGCTCTTGGTGCTTCTTTGCTATCATGAACGCTTTTTCTTGGTTCAATTGTTTTGAAGCATTTGACTTTTAATTGATTAGTATTTTATTTTCTGAATGTTGCTTGATATTAGTTTTTGTTCTGGGATTTGTACTGTATTTTTGACTTACAATTTGTTTAAAGAACATCGTATGATGTCTTCTCCTAGTGTTGGAAACTTTAAAAAGTGTGTTTCCATTTTCTGTTGACTTTATATTGCTTCTTTCCTGTCTTTTGTACACACATTCAGACACATATATAAAAGGAAATACGTGTATGGCCCAGCATGGGATTGGTGCTGTTTTGTAGAAATCTGCAATGACCTTTGAATAGGGGTTCATCTAATATATTTTTTATATAGTCCTGCGTAACTATCATATTGGGAGCTCTTTATTGTTCATCTAGGAGCATAATGCAACTTCTCTTGCCTTTTAAATTATGCTCTTTGTTATTTCCTATATGTTACTTCTGGAGATATTAAAATATTTCAAGTTTGTAGAACTAGAAAATCTTACTTTTAGTTTTCAAAAGTATGTTTGCTAAGTATAAAATTGAAAGGACAGATCTTTTCTTTCAGTCCTCTAATCTAGTTTTTTACACACTTGGTTCTTTTTTTTCTTTCTAATGTGGAATAAGGTGTTATTTAATTTTGTTCTTCCATAGCTAATATTTTTTATGTATATGCTTTAATGATTTTTTTCTTTACAATAAGTTTTGGACAATTAAAAAAAATAGAAACATTGTAACTGAAATATATCAGCTGGTAAAAATAAATAAATGAATAAAATAAAATAAAAAAGCATTGAAGACCCAAGCCATTGAAGACTCCCTTATCAATCACAGTGCAAGCTCCTCTGTGCAGGTCCCTTAGGGCAGTAGCACAGGATTCTGTGAGGCCAGTGAGCGAGTGGGGTGTTCCCACAAAGCTACTGTGTGGACGCCTCCTCTGGCCATGGCCCTCTTCCCGTGTACTGCAGATCTTCCAGCCACAATCAGCCAGCAGTATATCAAGACCCACCTCCCAAACCATCCACACTCTTGAACACAGTAATCTCACAGCTGAGAACTTACAGTAGGGAGAAAGAACAGAAGCAGTGTGTGCACAGATAACTTGATAGAATGCAGCTATTAGAAAATATTACAAATACAACATGGAATTTATTTTTAAAAATTGCTGAATGAGGGCCAGGGAGATAGCTCAGAGGTTTACGCGCCTGGCTGGCAAGCAGAAGTTCCTGAGTTCAATTCCCAATACCAAAAAATAAAAAATAAAAAAATTGCTGAATCATATTAACAGATGTATTCCACGCAAAAAGTTGTATAAAGACCAAGATTACTTTTTGGGGGGAGGTGGAGGTGGGAGTTAAGTATTAAGTATTTACATGATAAAGAACAGAAGGAAAATGAGGCAAATGAAGGACACTGTCCTATTGGGAATGGCCAGCCCCATCCTGGCCTTAGTCTTTGAAAACTGTTTTACCTAATGCTGTGAAATCCCTCTCTGGCCACCAACTTTGTGCTCCACACCTTGCTGCCAGTAACTTGCCTTGCATGCTTGGTCAGCACAAGACTTTCACACCCGCCTCAGTCTTGGCTGCCAGCAGCTCCCTGTGAGCAGGCTACCCTGGAGTCCATTGTACCAGTGTATTCTCAATCATGCTATTTTTGTCTGTGTCTCTTTATGTGTTTCGCTGCTTCTCTGCCTGTCTGTCTTTGTCTGTCTCTCTCTCTTGAACATACACACTCAAATCTCATAGCCCCTTGACATTCCTCTTCCCTGTTCTGTCCATAACTTCACCCCTTTCCCCAGTCCCTTCAGCCCTGACTGCAGGATACCCATCCTCTCCAGGCCTATCTAGGACTCGATGCTGCTCTTCTATCCCGTGTGAGGAGAACCTGGCAGCCTCTGTGGAGACCACCAGCCTCACCAGAAATGCAGACCCTTTCCATCCCCTTGCCTCTGTGCACAGCCTGGCTCACCACTTATGGAAAGGACAGAGTAGGCCTTGTGAGGAAAGCTGTAACTTCCTACTGCAATTCAAGTGCTTTCCAAAAGCTTATCGTTGCTCTTCTCTTTCCTCCTGCCTTGAAGAAAGGGTTAAAAGGACACAATATGGAGACCCAGCAGTTGGCATTTCACATCTGTATTTCACTTTGCTATCATGATACCCTTGTGAAGTAGGCGCTATTTTCGTCATTTTACACATGAGGAAACTGCAGCCCATACTTGTTAAAGACATTACCTAAGGACCTCGCTAACCCCACTAACCCACTGGGCTCTGGGATGTCCAGGCTGCACAGGACAAGAGGCTTCATGGAGCCAGGTCCGAGAGGGGCAACATGGACCCAAGCATGGAGCAAGCCTTAGCCAGGACAGGAGGTGGCATCTCCCAGTAGGTCTGTCCCAAGGATTTCTTTCCCCTATCTGTAGATACTGCGGCCTCTCTTTCAAAACCGCAAGTTTTCTTCCGGCCTCTGACTGCCCTAAGTCTCCTCCTGAAAGAGAAAATGATTGCACCTTCACCCTCACTTCCTTCCTACGCACTCCCTCCTTAACTGCTTGCAATCTACCTTCCACCTCACAATCTGAGAACGCTGTTCTCACAAAGCACACAGAGGACCAACCCAATGGTCTTTCCAAGCTGGCATCCTTTCTCAGCACCCGAGTGTGCCACTACTCTCGTATCCTTTGGTGCCCTTGACTCTGGCTCATCCTGGTTTTCCT